AATTTTAAATTTCATTCTCTTGAAATTATAGCATAAGTTACGAATTAAAACATTTGTAAGTAATGTAAAAATTGCAAAATACTATTATACGTTAAATAATGTTGTAGTGATCTAAATATAGTATAGTTACAATACCCTGTATTATTATTTATAATTGTCAATATAACATTTGTCGTTTATATTTTATAGTTGTTAAACTGTTGAATAAAGACTTATATCGCTTTGTTTTTACAACAATTTATTCAACAGTTGCAACTCTTGAAGTTTCTTTTGGAGGACCAAATAAAACTTTCAAAATAAAACTCTCATAATCAAAGGAAGTAATTCCGCCTGGAGAGCTCAAGCTCTTGTTACTAAGAATAGTAATCACAAAAAAAGAATGGTTATTAATTATGCCCAAACAATAAATAGATTCACTGAACTAGATGCTTATTCGGCCCCCAATATCGAAGATTTAATATCTAGAGTATCACGATATTCTGTTTTCAGCACTATAGATTTAAGGAGTGCGTACCATCAAATCGCAATTCAAACTTTAGATTACAGAGGACCATTACCATCCTCATCCCATAACAAATACCTTTTGACGGTTATAGACGAGTATAGTCGATTTCCCTTTGCTTTTCCAACACCAGATGTTTCAGAAAAATCAGTTGTTAAAAATCTATCAAGTCTTTTCTCAATATTTGGTTTACCAAGTTTCATTCACTTCGACAGAGGTTCTGTATTTATGTCGCTAGAACTAAAAGAATACCTGAACTCAAACGGGGTTGCTATTAGTCGAACAACGGCCTACAATCCTCAAGGTAATGGACAAATAGAGAGGGAAAACGGAACTATCTGGAAAACGATTGAATTAGCTGTGCGAGATAGAGGACTAAAAATGTCTCAGTGGGAAATGGGTCTGCCTGATGCACTACACTAAATTAGATCCTTATTGTGCACAGCTACTAACAACACTCCACATGCAAGAATGTTTTATCATAGTCGAAGATCAAGCCAACAAGACAATCATTGCCAACTTGGTTATCTGCTCTGGGTCCAGTTTTGATGAAGAGACATGTGCGATCAAATAAATACCAGCCATTAGTTGAAGAAGTCCAACTGCTAGAAGCGAATCCGGATTACTCGTACGTACTCCTTCCAGATGGTAGAGAAACTACGGTATTGAATCGTCACTTAGCTCCGAGGGGAGATGAAAAGAACTACGAGCACGCTGAACCAGAAACTGCACAAAATTTTGATAATGATACTATGGAGTCCGCTTCTATTGAGAACCCTCTGGAATCGATGAATGCAACTGACATTGAAGTAACCCCTGACGTTGAGGTAACCCTTGATCCGATCGCTGATGAATTGTCGATACATTTAAAGAGAGTCCGAAGACCTCCCCTTCATTTGAAAGATTACTATTGTTCTTGAAGATGGGAAGAATGTGGTGATCTAAATATAGTATAGTTACAATACCCTGTATTATTATGTATAATTGTCAATGCAACATTTGTCGTTTATATTTTATAGTTGTTAAACTGTTGAATAAAGCCTTATATCGGTTTGTTTTTACAACAAATGTAATTTAATATATTTAATATATGTGTATAGAATAAAAAATTAAGTCATCATCTTTCTTTCTTTATTCCAAGTCGAAAAGAAGACATCTTTCTGCAAAATCAAGAAACACTTGTAAGGAAAACTAAGTATTTTCTCCACGCTTCATTCACAGATACCTAAGCCAAAAAACATTTAAATTAATATATTATGAAACATTTGTTAAATACATTATTTATAAGGTTGATTTATAGATTTTATTATTTTAGTAGCTTAGTTGATATTTTTGGGACAATGAATTATTTTAGAAAATATATAATTTATATAAATATATGGCTTTAACCTAACTTTTTCTAGTCCAACACTTTTTTAAATATAACGAAATATTATAAATTCTATATTAAAAACAAAATTATCTCATGTAATAAATATTCCCACTTCGCACCATCGAGCAATACTTTCAATACTGGGTAGACGAGGAAGACAATATCGCCTATCTCTCGGTATGAACACGGAACGTCTTGAGAGGGGATATTATAGTCATATTTTTCAATCATTTTTATACCCGAAATTACTTTGCTAATTTAACAATTACGGCTTTATATTACGTCCAATTTTAAAAATTATTATTTGATCTTGTTAAGAAAAAGATTTACTGCAACTTAATAGTACCTAATCGTTTAACGAATAATGCATACAGTCTGTTCGCTATACTTACGCAGGTTCCGGATTAAACATTTTATGAGTATTTCCAGTAAGTACCCGAAAGTTTGACCTGTTCTTTGGGGAAATATCAACTGGTTAAATGAAATGAAAAATAATGTACAACTTTTTAATTAAATAATAATTTAGAATCTTTTGTATAATTGAGAGCAAGTAGATGAGATTAATCTCATCTACTAGAGCAGAATTAAACTTCTTCATTAATGGAGTCTAATGTGGCTATTATAAACCTAATAATAATTTTATACCACACTTCACACAGAAAATATGGTCTATGTATAATAAGAGGGTTATTTAGTTCAAATAAAATATTTTCTAACATAAAAATTTGTTCCATGTAGAGAATTTCAAATAAAAAATAAAAAAATTGAACTTGCCAACAAAAATGAAAATCAGTCATCCAAAATATAATAATCGTCATCATCATCATCACTGTCATCACCATTAATTGGACTTATTTCGTTTAATTTATTTTCACGAGTCCACCAATCTTCTATTAGTTTCTCGCACTTGGATATACAATTCCGCCACACTTCTGGAGTTGCAATTAAAAGTGCTTTTCGCCAAGTTTCCCGAACTGCGTCGTCACTATAACCATTAGGCCCAATATGGTTGTCATAATATTGTTTTGCTATTCCCCATATATATTCGATGGGATTAAACTGGCAATGATACGGTGGCAGACGTAAAACTTGATGACCGTAACTTTCAATAATCTGATCCACAACAATGGTTTTTAGTTTTGCGTGTATATTTGCCAAGCTTAATAATTCTGATTTTAATATATATTGAGGAAATGGTACATGTTCCTTTGTCAACCATTCTTTAATTTTATCAACAGTCCAAGAATTCGTTGGACTCAGAATGGTAAGGTGCATTGTCTAAAATAATTACGCTGGGCTCACTTAAACCTGGAAGAAGTTTTTCATGCAACCATTTTACAAACATTTCTGTGTTCATATTATCGTGATAGTCACTGGATTTTGATTTAGATGAAAATATTAAATCAGCACCTTCTATAAAACCCGATTTCCCTCTTGCATGTAAAAGTATGTGTCGCTTCCCTTCTCCATCGTTATGTTTGATAGTCTTTACGTTATCATCTTGCCATATTCTCTTGGTTGCACCCCTAGAAAATATCCATATATCGTCTAAATATATAAAATTCGACCCTTCTTTTTTAAATTTAGAATATTTTCTTAGAAAGTTAATTCTCTTTTGCACGACAGAACTTCTTTCACAAATGGCCTTTCTGTTATCCTCCTTTTGAAATTTAAAACCCACGTTATGTATCACTTGCCATAGACTTGTTCTGCCAATGTCGTCAAATTTTCTATCTATTAATTCCGAGAGAATTGTATTTAAGGTCACATGTTCCTTGTTGACCCTCATTCGATAAATGGTTTTTAATGATGGGCGAGTTTTGCGGTGATCTTCTTTCGGCAGTTCACTATTGTGATTTTGTAATACTCCTCTTAATTTGGTTTCACTAATTCCTAGAGCATCGCATACGCGTTGTTGTACATACATTACCGATTTTAAAGGACCTCCATTTTCTTTTTCATCCGTAAAATACTTATGTACACTGTAAATTAGACTATCTACATCTAACACACGTCTAGGCATTTTTAAAATGTCCACTAAATTTACAATATACATACAATGTCAACACTTGCAAAGAATCAATTCAACTGTAATATTTGTAACAAATTTAGTACCTACCCTAATGTTATTTTAATTTAAATCTGACCATAAGGGCAATTTTACCTAATTTCTTGAGAAGAGGTTTATTGGAACTGGTTGTCAATGACTAATTTACATAATTTTGTTAATCCGAAACCCGCGTAAGTATAGCGAACAGACTGTATTTAATAAACTTTATATTTTTTTTTTTGACGAAATGGGCCATTTTTCAAAAAAGTATGCTAACTCAGGGCTAGTGCTGTTATTCTTTGCACTTACAAAAAATTATGGTATTATCTTTAAGATTGTGTCTTCTAGGATTAAACCATAGAATGCCTAATGTATACAAATTTCTTGCTATTATTAGCGGAGCAATTTAACAATATTACAAAAATCAGTTTTCTTTACATTGACAGATTTTTAAATACAATGAAAACAATACAAAGTGGAATAAAATGGCAACTTTTAGTAAGTTTATTTTGTCATCTATTTTAAACTAGCAAAAAGCTCCAGCCGTCTCCAGCTTAAAGATACTCCGCCTGGTCATTGTATATAGTTCTTTATACAATGGCCTGGTGGTGGTCTCCTTTTGATATCAAACAAATAAATGCATTAGTCTGACCTACTAGGACTACTTATACAATGAATATACTCAAATAATGATGATCTTCCCCGCCATGGACAAATTTCTGCGTACGCCCATGTCCCACACTATAAAATTAGGTATAACTATAGAATATTTTCAAAATAATTACTTTTTGAATAAAGGAATTTCCTTTACTTTATGCTTTTTCTCATTTATTTTGAAGCTGTAACCTTATAACGATTCTAAAATTTGAATTAGGTATATTTGTTTTTTGTTTCATTATTGGTTTTGCCAATGTGCTGCCATCTGCTAGTTAAAAGCTGAACTATTATTACTTGCGCTACTCTTGGAAGAGCCCGGATTTTAAATTTCTGCATTATCCTTTTTAATCCTGTATCCTATCAAAAACCGGAATAATAACACGAAAAATTCAAAGCATCGAATCAAAATGGCAGCGTAGGTCGAGAGTGTAAGGTGCATTCGTACAACAGTTTTGAAATAATGCGTTTTTTTGAAAAAACTAGCAAGTTTTGTGACTGAAATAAAGTTGTGAATATGTTTTGTTAATGATTTTACTGTACAGTTTTGTGTATGAAAATCTATTATACCCGGGTATTAAGTGTCAATGCACTTTTGTGTGAAAGTACACTAGCTTTTATAGCCTAGGTAAGTACTGAATATTTTAAATGCCAAAAGGCAAGAGAAAAATTTGTACTGGGTACCTGGGTACTCTTTTTGTGTGGTTACTGCTCACGTCTAACGTTGATATCTTTTATACAATTAATATTTTTATTAAATGTATGGTTAGGTACCTATATACCTAGTTGTAAATGATAAAATATAATGCTTTTGGTTATAATAATAAACTTAGAAAGAGAGATATATTTACATTTTAAGTTCGGATTTTTAAATTATTGATGTTAATTCTGTTGGATAAAAAAGTAGTGAATACCTATAGGTATTGTAAAATAGGTATTTTACATAATAAAATGTTGAAATATTTTAATTATAATAAAATATTTGTGTAAATGTCTAGCTTGGGCTCTTTTCGATTACGGAAAAACTAAGCATACCTATGTAGGTATTACTATTGTAAACAAAAAACCTAAGTTCCATATTTTGTGCAAATGAATAATAGGGACACATAATTTTTTTAAATAAAAATATGCCATTTTTTTCTATGAATTTTATAAATTTTACGGGAAAGGGAGTGAATTGGGGTGCTGGGTGAGAAAAACAACATCTAATAGTTATAATATTATAAAATACTGTTAGGACAAGGAAAATTATTATTAATTAATTGTTGTACTTTTGATACGAGGGGCAAATCACTCTTTGTAAAAATGTACATGTATTGCCGAATTCATATGATTTCCGCAATCATATGGCGATTTCTGGATGACTGCGGCGATTTCTAGATGACTGCGGCGATTTCTGGATGACTGCGATGATTTCCACATGACTTCCGACAGATTTCCCGTGACTGCGGTGATTTATGTATTGATTGCAACGATTTCTCTATTGATTGCGGCAATTTCCCTATTGATTGCGGCGATCTAATCGTACGTATGGATTGTCAGTATTATTGCAAAATTGCACGCATTCCGAAGGATTTCTACGATATTGTATGGCTTACCAGTTGGTTTCCAGTAAAAAAAGCATTAGCTAGGTGTTTCATCAGAAAAACTAAATTTTGTATAGCGCATGTATAGGTGCTAAATACAATGCATTGATTTAAAACTAAGTGTGTACGACAAATTTATCAATAAATCAACTTTTTGTACGTTTTTTATTCATTCAGAAGATCAGTTTTAATTGATGTGATACCCGAAATATAAACTTCTATGTAGGTACCTACATGCCTCCATTATTATATATCTTTGATATGCCTAAATGAACAAATAGGTACAGGTAAATAAAACAAGTTAAGTAATTAAGTAATTGGAGGTTTTTTATTTAAAAATTTCATAAAAGTTTTTTTAGACGTTTACAAATTTTATTGATGTTTGTTTCTAGTTTAAATGGACCAGATCCAATTGAATTGATGGGTCCGTAAAATATTAATTTATTTTTAACAATTTGAATGTCGTCTTTTTTTTGGCCATAAATATTCTTCAAGTTCAGATTTTAAAATTTTTATTTTACTAGTGGTTTCATCAATTATTTGAAAAATCCGACCTATGTACCACGACTCGTAAAGAATTGCGTAATATTGTTCGTTCCTAATTAAAATGCCATTGATATTTTTCTGGAGCAAAGTGTTTTCACCGGTAGTTTTTTCACTTTCTGTTACATCTTTGTCATTGTAGTTATTTGGTATTTTAGCTGTGTTTTTTGTTATTTAGTACTGCTGAGGATGTTCCTTTTACACGAGATAATCTATCAGTTGACAAGCGCCCGTCTTCAGTGGAAAATAACCAACAAAGAACTGATTTTTTTACCTTCATTTTTTTGTTGTTCACAATTATGTTTAAAAATGAGGTATCAGAATCACTTTTTGTGTAGTAATTTCGAAAATCCTTTATATTAAGATCTTCCAATCCATAAAAAATGCTCTTTTCATTATCTACATCATATATGGAAACTTAAGTTTAAAATTTAATGTTTTTTACTTTATCCGTTTTTGATTTTTCTTTAAAATTCGAAATTTACATATTTTCTTAAATATCTCGAATACGGTCCATTTTAGAGAAATTATGTATAGGGCAAAAATTATAGAGAATTATATTACAAACAACTTTTATTTGAACAATTTTTATAAAAAAATATTTTTTTTACATTTTGTCAAATTTCTCGAATACGGACCAAATTTTGTATAGAACAAATTATAGATAATAATATTGTAACTTTTATTTGAAAAAATTTCTTCTCCAAACGTAAATAACAGATATATTCCATAAAATATAAAAATGATGACTATAGTACCCTTAAAATGTTCCGACTCTGCCCAAAATCTAATCAGCTAATTGGACGCCGGAATAAAGCTTAAGTTTAAAATTTGGTGTTTTTCTTTGTATCCGTTCATGAGTTATCGAGGATACAGACACACACACAGACATCATCGCGAAAATAGTCAAAACAGATTCAGGATACCCCAAAACATAAAAAACCGTCGAAAATTCGAGGTCGAAAAAAATCATGATTCCTATACTTTCCTTATCTGTAAACAGATAGGAAAGTAAAAATACATTTAAAACCCTAATTAAAACGTGTATCACCCCAACCCCCATAAAATACCAACAATTTTGTTATACATTAAAAAAAAACTAGATGAAAAGGGACAATTTTTGACCACCTTGTAAAATTTTGTATACAAGTAGATTTAGTGTCTAAATTTATCCTAAAAAAACCTCAAATTCCAAAATGTAAATTTAACTTAATAGTTCTTGCCTCAAAATGTAAACTGCAATTTCTTTACACAAAATGGTTTAGATGGCTTAATCAAAGCTCCCTACATCAACAATGGCTAATTGGTTAATGTCACCTTACTGCGCGCGATTTTTAACGATTGCTAGTGATTGCTCAGTGACTTCTAGAGAATTCGGGGGACTGCAAGGGAATTCGGAACGACTGCGAGCGAATTCGGAACGACTGCGGCGATTTCTTAGCGATTGTCACTGATTTTGATGAGACTGCGGCGATTTTCAATGGGATTGCGGACATTTTGTACACGTATTGCGGGAGTGATTTGCCCCTCGTTTTGATACTAAATAATTGAATAGTAAACTTTCTGTGCGATTTGGCAAAAGTGTAAAACGTGAAAGAAGCATTTCTGAGCTTTGATTTGAGACAATTTGTGAAATACTTTTATTAAAAAAATTAATTGTTTTATTATTAATTTGCACAAGATAGGTATGAAACTAAGATTTAATTACGAGTATTAAAGCAAAAAAAATAAACGTAAGACTCGAGTTAAAATCTCAGATGGAGAAAAATTAATTGAATTTTCTTTTTTTCTTGTTTATTTTATTTTATAAATTACTAAAAGTCAAATTATTTTTAAATTAATTATTTTATCTTAATAACGTAAAATAATTTTTAATGTAGATTTTCGTTAGTGGGTAGTAGAAAAAATATACTGTACAACTCGAGTGGATTGTCCATATCGCACTTAGACAAAATTGACAGCTTTGTTGCTCGCCTAATTTAAATTAGCTATAATACAATAATATTTCTTAAAGTGTGATCGTAGAAAAAATCTTGTGTGTATTTTGAGCAAAAAGTTCGTTGCCGCTTTCGACAGATTGTCGGGCTCCGCTACGCGTCGCCGGGCAACTTTCTGTCTCAAGCGGCAAAGTATCACTTTTTGCTCCTAATACACAAATAGCTATTTTCAGTAGTTTATTTAAAGTAGTTATATTTAAAAGTTCCCTTTTTTGACACGCTATTTTGTGTATAAGCTTATACAGTGCTATTTTTCACAGCCCTTTTGCTAAATATATAATTTCTCATGTGAAAACACTGAAAACCCTATGTACCAGTGTTGCCAGTCTAGTACAATTGTACTAGATCTAGTACATTCTCTGAGAATCTGGTACTCTAGTACACTCGAAACAAAATCTAGTACTTTTTTCAGCGTATGTTTCCATTTGAAGTGTAAAATCAGAGATAACCAGGAGATGTAACTACTAACAAATATCGTGCGGCCGTGAATAAGACATATTCTAAGGGACACAGTAGGACATAATATCCGCTGTTGTCATTGTTAGTAAAGTGTATGTATTAAAATATTCGCTCAAGAAAACGATTCACCTCCCACTCTTTTGTCACAAGGCTGAATTTTTCACAGATGAAAGGTCATGATAAGGTAACCCTTATTCCGGAGTTAATACAAAATTAAAGTGTGCAGAAGGGCATTATCATCAAAAATTCAGATATTGATACCACCGAATAGAGAAAAAAATACTCATTTTTTGATCAAATGCACAATAAAATCTTTGTAGGGAGTAATTGTTCATACTTATTTAAAAAAAATCATTTGCATTAGCACTTACGGCTGAAAAAAAATATAAACGTAAATATCTTGGTTTTAGCCCTTCAAAAATTTAGTTAAAAAGTCGTCTTTTTTAAATATACCACTCATTTAACAAAAAACGAAGGCCTAAATGAAAAAAAAACATTCCTTATAAAATTTTTGGTTATGTGTTGACAAGGTAACAGAGTAAACACCATATTTTTTGCTTTTGAATTAACAAAGATATAACAATAAACGATGAGAGATGTCATAGGTTTATGCTGTTATTAATTCTCACCGCCAAATTTATCAACTCTCAGTGTATCTTTCTCTTCACCTTCAAACGTAGCATAGCTCTGTTTCTCTCTACGTGCCGGCTGATGTATCACATTATTGATATGGTAGGATTTTTTCATTTTTTTTATTATAAAACTTCTCGTTATGTTCCATTGGGCAATGTGTCATATTGTTATCTGTTTTTACTAAAGAATTAATAAGTGTATGTGTTATATATTAAATTACCTAATAAATTGGGAAAAAATATAGACATTTTTGCATCTTTATTATATCTACATTCATCCTGTTGCAGCTGAATATATTTGGGTAAGTCATAAGTTTTCGTTTAAAATTTTAATTACGGATTTGTTGCTACAAGTAGCAAAGACAAAAATTATATCAAAATAGGAAAGCTCAAAAGTTGCATATCATTTAA